GATCCTTGCCAACTTCGACTTCCGTCTAGCGCCAATTGCCACCGGCTTGGCATACTCGGGTATGGGCGCACGCGCCCAATTAACGGCACACACGAACTGTTGCATTTCAGCGGCTGTTTCGGGAGCCGCCAGATCGCACAGACCTTTGAATCGCTTCGGTGAGTGTGTGATCCCGCCGAGATCACTTTGCCATGCCACTCTACACGTCTCACGAAGAACTCACTCTTCTTGGGGCGTAGTTTGAGGCCATAGGTCTTGCTAATACTTAGGACCTTGGCCAACAGGCAAATCAGTTCTTGGACGGCGCGTATCCGTGCAAGTCGTCTAACCAGCCGAGGACTCCATGAAATAAGAGGTCCCCGAAAATTCAGTTTACCGCCGCCTGGCAGAACGCCACAGCGTCGGTACATCCCATGAGGACCCTCGTGGGGGTATAGATCCCCATGGGGGTCATGAACGAAAAGATCTCTTGACTGTTGGGGTGTAACGGCAGCTGTCAATACCCCTTCAACCAATTGAGGTTGAAGTACACGGACGTGCCGGCCAACATCAACATAGCCGCGTCGAGGTTGGGCATAGGCCACGGCATCGCCTCGTGCAAGCGTTCACCAGGCGACTATCGATCGTCATTCGGAAGTCGCCGGTGTCCTTCTTGGGGATAATGCGCGGGGATCATGCCCATCTCGACCGGTAGTTTCGGTAGACGAGACCGGCGCGTTCGAGCTTACCCACATGCTCCTTGAGGTACTCCATGTGGAGAGGCGGGTACCACCGAAGTCCACATTTCATGGGTGTCGCATCTGGCTTGACTCAAACCTTCAGAAGCTCCACCTTAACAGGCGGGTCGCAGCCCATTTCCACACGGAACACATCCGTATTCTTCTTGAGCAGCCGAAGCAGCTGCTCAAGAGACACTGCAGAGAGACATTCCTCTTCTTCCCGCACCAGCTTCACGACGAGTACTTCCTAGACTGCTGCCTTGCGCTCTGCTTGCGCAGTCACGTCGAACGAACACGGCAATGGCGTCGCGCACTGGAGACCATCGTATTCGTCCCCGTCGTCATCCAACTCCGCCTGCATAAGGCGATTCACTCTCGCCATGGACGTCGTCGGTTCTGGCTCTGGATCTAGAGCGTCCAGGTCCCAGATGGCGGCTAGCTTCCTTGCCGCCACGAGCACCCCGTCGGCGGAATACCCAAAGGCATTTATTGCGGGCCGGCCGACGAGGATCTCGGCCCTGTCTTTCACGTTGTCGTCAACCCACAGGTCCAGTCCTCGCACGACCAATTCGTGAAACTCCACGGATCTGAATTTCATCTTTCGCGTGCATGTTATTGTCGGAGCTCTAACACCATAGGGTG